CGAGATGAGATTGATCGATGCAGCGAAATTGCCATGGCGAATATACAAGGGCCGTTTGTATTTGTTTGGGAACAATTAATCGTTGTTATCGCAAACCGCTCGCGAATCGAGTTAGGCGGAAGTACCGAGGTACCGAGGTAGCTGTCTCGACTTCTCGGGGAGATATAATGCCGCAGTGTGACGCGAGCGTCGAATATGAAACGCGGCGGGCGTTGCAACGCGAAGATGTAGGCGCATCTTTAAATCGCCGTCGGCAGAATCCAAATTTTCCACGGAGATAAAATCACAAGCAGCTGCGTCTGTTCTTTTCTCCTCTCCCTCTCCCCCCTCCACCACTCTCTTTACCTCGTAAAAGGTACTATTTCATCTACTTTCTTTCCAGTTGCCTTCCCGAAGATTGATACCGAGAATGATTCATCGCGACCATTCATTTCGCCCTTGCTTTCTTTCGTATTCCTATTACTTCTTCCTCCCTTCTTCCTTCCTACGCCGACAGAGAAGTTTTCCCTTTTTTTACACGAGAAAGCCTTGTCGTGTGCCAGTAATTGTATGTAAATATAATTTCGTACAAAGCGTAAATAAACACTTTGTGGATATCACAGACATGTACATACGTAACACGCGAGATGTACAATTAATTTAATATTTCAAAAATGTACTTGGAAAAGAATATACATTTTTCTTGTTGAATACAAAAATACGCAGAGAAAAAAATGTCTGCATGAATTGAAAATCTGATTTAGGCTAGAATACAGAACAGAATGCGTCACGAATGAGGTTTCCGAATTTAACCATTCTATTCCGCAAACTCTCCCATCATGATCTGAATTGGACTTCGAGCTTGGAAATTGACAGTTTTCATTTCCGTAATCCTTTGAATATCTACTAACATTCGAAAATCTAATTCATATGCATTCGTATTTTTTTACACTCTTTTTTAGGAATCTAGGACAATTTTGCTCGTTGGTTTTTTTTCAAATGTATCTGGAACTCTAATGTCTTTCAAATGTGTCTCTTATAAATGTATCTGGAATTCTATCGCTTGCTTGTGTCAATGCAAAGACTCGATTGCATATTAAAATCGGAGAACGGCGAGCTCTCGGTATATCTCAGCTCAGCAACGGCAATTGGTGAATCGAAAATTCGATGAAACGAAATATTTCTATTTATTTATCGTCCAGAGGCTGTCGTCGTCGGAAGATCGTGGAATAAATATTTAGTTTAGCGGCAGTCGCTTTTGAAGAGGAGCAGGAACGACGCATCGCGCTGTCTCTCATAAATTTATTTCTCGCATCTCCCATCTCCTTTTCCTCCCGCTTATTGTTCCTACGGGCTTTTGGCATCGCTTTTTTTTTATTTTGTGCACCGAGGAAGATTTAAGTGTTTAATAACCGGCTCGCTCGTAAACCTGGTAGATGAAAGATACAAGCGTTTCGAGGCATTATTTAGCATGGCTCGTTCTCTAACATTTTTCTCCGTCGCTCTTGTTCCAGTCTCGGGCATCCACTTTTTTGACTTGTCCTCTTCTAGTCCCTATCTCTCTTTTAGTCCCAACGTATATGCGAGAATTGATGATCTAGCAAGAGTATTTATTAGTCCCTGTCGGTGCAACGCGGCAACGGAAGATTGAACGAAACAATTAGAAGGCAAGGGAAACGTGGTCAGTCAATTTTGTTGACGAATTAATTTTAAAGAAAGCACAAGAATTCATGGTCATAAAAAATGTTTTTGCATATTTTTCCGTATACTTTATCATAAAAATAAATATACAAAATAAATATAAGAGAGATAAATGTATAAAATAAATTGAATAATTGAATAATAAGAAAATTAAATTACTTATCAATGTAATTTCTCTTTTTCAACAATTTTTTTACTAGATTTATATTTAGTTTTAAAAATGCAATAATTTTTCAATTAAAAAATATATAATAATCTGCAAAGAATTTTTGAAATAAATTTTTTTACTAGATTTATATTTGATTTAAAAAATTCAATAATTTTTCAATTAAAAAATATATAATAATCTGCAAGAAATTTTTGAAATAATTTGATATTATATATAGAAATTAGTTTATCGAAAAAACATCTGTTATTCTTTTTTTTCTCATGTTATTTTTACGATACTGGAACGCAGAAAGAATTGTATTGCGAATATTCCAAAGCTTCACAAATATTGTTAACAAAGTTATTAAATTGCTATACTCAATTTTGTTATTAAAATATAGCGATGCCGCGGAATATTCATCGTTATGAAAAGAGTGGCGCACTTTGGTGAAACGAGATCCACTTTCGAGGCTTGCTAAGCCGTCAGAAAACCAGTGAATAGCGTGACAGATTTTCTAGGGCAGCTTTAAGACGATAAAACCTTAACGCCATGTTTTAGCAGGCGTCGCGCAAGAATTACGATCTATCATCTTAACAGACGCGGGCTCGTTTTGCCGAATTAGTCGCGCAAGAAGCGCGTTAAGTTTCTTACTAATGAATTGTAAACAATGCCGGAGATAAACTTTAAAATAATGGTGGATAATCGTGGATAGCATTTAATTAATTCTGCATGACCTTTCGCGCGGCAGTAATCGAAGATTAATTGACCTCTCTGTATTATAAATTCACGCAAATGTTGCCGCGGCATTAACGATAGGTTCATAATTATGTCTCTCCTGTATATAATTACTTGGAAATCGAAAGCTTACGGCGTGCGATATTCGTGACATAATGATGCTCCCACGACAGCTCTATTTTCCCCCAGGAATTTAATAAAAATGACGTTCAATTTTCGACTTAACCGCGCCAATTGTCCCCTAACGAGCACAGTCCTTTTTATTGCCAGACGATCGATCAATACGACAGACGTCACAAAGGACAACGTGAGTGTCACGTTGACTTCACGTTGCAGGAAAAAGATGTGAGACTGTTCTCTGTGTCCACAAGATTGTATAGTTCACGCTTCGGCGCAAATAGACCGCTGACAAATGATAAACAAGCGAGGCGCCCACTTTGTCTGCACCTTCTGCTTTTTCCTCGTCTCTCAGAATCATCATCATAAGACACAACTACGTTTTCGCCCCGTGACACGAAAGACCGAGGGTCCAACCCGCGTGAGGGGCACGCGAGGGTCGGCGAGTTTATTTGAAAAAGGACGGCCCTCTTGAGAGAAGGATGAGGTGGAGACCTCGTAACCGACGATGGAGTTTGTATACTTCTCGAAATAAGCTGGAGAGGAGGGACACTCGTGGCTGCGTCGGAGCAGCATCACCTTCGAGTTTCGGCCATGACGATACGCGTAACGGGATGAATCCAGGATCGATATATCTAGCACAATGGGTTCAAGGAATTCTCATAATAAACGTAGCAATATAGATTCGCTCTGGAGAAAAGAAAAGAGATCTCCGAATAAAGTTCCGCTTGGCGATTTTATGCGCTCGGATAGATATGATACTTTAGTTGAATTCAGACCTTTCCTGTCCCAGATAAGATTGTCGTCCTTTCTCCAGCAGAATGCGGCGAACCCGATTTTCCGCCTATTTCCATCGAGCTTGTCTCCGTGTAAATTCAGAATAAGCCGCTCCTTTCGCGCGCCGTAAGCTCTCCGAGTAATTGTATATACACAAGAGTCGTAATTACGGGCCTATCATTAACGCCGGCGTGGCAATATTTGCGTGAATATACAGCACGCGATACAGATACGCTATCAATCTTCGGGATCTTAGCTGAAGACGACGACGACGACGACGACGACGACGACGACGACGATCGTCGGATGCGCGAGGAAAGCTCCTTTGCCGTGCGTGCCATAAATCTCGCGACGGCGGGAAGGGATTCTATTCGCTAAATGACGACATTTAAGGCACGTGGCATAATAGCGACGAAAGAGGGGTATAATACTCGCACGTGTCGAGTTCCGGGTATTAATTTCCCGCAACAATGTTATTAAAAGTAAATCTAAATTGAATCGTCATTCAAACTTACTCTAGAATTAATATTACGTTATATACTTCATTTCCGTTGGTATATAATCATTTTAATTCACCACATTTCCTGAAATTAATGAGCCAATGAGTTATTCAGTTCTCAAGTCTATCAATCTTGCTGCGCGTCGTCCTGTCAAACAGATTAGATAGTGTTCAAATTTTTATCACAGTACATTGCAACGAGATACGTGTTTGTATACGTGCGCATCCGATGCGTGCGGCGTGCGCGTGTACGTGTACTTACACCGGCGCGGCGACTGGATAAGCCGGTGCCATAAATCGCCGATTTTTGCATATGCGGGCAGAGCATAGAGCGAAACAAATTCCCGAAACAAGATTGCTGTATATATACATATATCCTATAAACAAAAATCCCTCGCCGCCGAGAGATTTATATTCGTTTGGGAAAGTGTTACGCCCGCGTGTTTACGAGCGTACGATGCAACGACGTACGCGGGGAAGAGGGAAGATAAATGGTCGATCTAGGAAAAGTCGATATATGGAGGGGTAGCGCGTCCAATATTGGGCCTCGTACCTGTGAAAAATGTAGAGCTAACGCGCGGGCGCGTTTAATCCGAGTAATAAATAGCGACGCCTCGTACGCGACTTGTACAACTCGAGCGATACTTGGAGAATAATCCGCGATGCGCCGCGTATACGCTCGGGACGCGACAGCTTCGCGATTCGCCATTTTTGTGTTTTAACCCGCGATTATATTTTCAAGTCGAATTTTTAGTACGCGCTCGTCGGAATTAATACGAAATGAACTTACGTTCCCGAGAATCCCGAGGATGTCGTCGAAGTTCGGGGAGAAACGTGGTTACAGGATTCAGAAAGGTTTCGGAAGGTCTCGCGCGCGCGAAACGAAACGCGCGTCACGTTATCCCTCCTTCCGCGGCGACACGGGCCCGCGTACCTGCCTGCCTGCGTGCCGACGGAGACGGCCGAGTCACGTGAGCGGCCGGGAACGGCCGAGCGCGGCCGAAGGTCGTGCCGAGCGCGCGAGCGGCGCTCCTCGCCACAGTTCGAGATAGGCTAGCGCGACGTAGCGACGTTCCATCGTAGTCGATCGAAGAGTCGCCTGGATCGCTCGAATGCGTCGCGCCGCTTGATCCCCCCGCGTCGATCGGATCGGTGAGTTTCGGGAAAGTCGCGCGCGGTCGCGGTGTGGTGTCAGTGTGAACGGTAAAATACGGCAGCGAGAGAAATAAGGAGAGAAAGAGAACGGAATAGAACGGAAAGAAACGGTGTGGTGTGAGGACTGTCTTCCTGCCGGTGGAGAGTGAAGATAGGCAGCGATCAACGTCGCGATGGCAGCCCGTCGTGAGCAGCGTTCCACCTGCGTGGCGATCGCCGTTCTGCTGCTGCAGCTAACAGGTATGTCGGAGCAAAAGTATCCGTCGCGCGACAACGCGCCGGTATGCGCAGGAATCCCGTGTCTGTCGGTTGGAATCTCGCACATGGTTTCCCACGGGATCGCTCGCGTTACGGTACCGTTTGCCGCACCTCGGTGTAGAAGGCGCGCGAGAGAGAGAGACGGATAGACGGAGTGAGAGGGAAACGCGAGACGGGCAAGGCACGCGAGTGCACTCAGCAGGTGGTTTAACCGTCGTGCCCGCGCCACTCTGGAATTCGATGTGAAGTTCTGTGTGCGAAGTTCGGGCGCGCTCTCAATGTCGCAAGTTCGAATTTGAGCTTGAAATGGCGCGCGTTCACTGGCGTCGCATCGCGTCCCGTCCCGTTCCGTTTCTTCGTTCGTTCTGCGGCAATGCATCGCGTTGCGCGTTCGTTCAAATTCGAAACGACCGCTACGGGCCTAACGGCCGTCGGCAGTCGCGGCCGGTTTGATTTCACGAGCGTCCTTTTGTTCCGGCGGTACTTACGCGTTACTTTTCGCAGGATTCGTGCTCGACTCGACTCGACTCGACTTTCCACATTCATTCGTCCGGCCGCTGTCGTGTAATTGCGCTCGTTGCACCACGTCAAACGGAAGCGTTCAAATTCGTCAGCGATGAATCATTAGCGTTGGCTAATTCGCAATAAACGTGAATCATATCTCGAAAAGTTTGATCGTGTACGATATTTCTTAAACGATATAAAGAAATTTTCAAACTATCTTAAAAGTTATACATATATATATATATATTAATATATTTTTGTGATATAAAATTTAGATTACATATTTGGAGTATATCGCATTTAATTGTATACATTTTGAATCGTTCTTGTACGAAATGAGAGAGAGAGAATATCATTCTTATCCGATCGTTATAATTTTAATTTCTTAAATGAACTTAATGTAGATCTGGTAGAAATTTCTTAGCAGTAGAAATTTTGTTTTTAGCACTGCTTCTTTCTTCTAAAGTTTTTATCATAATATTTGGAAGCTATCCAAAATTAATATATTTGAATATTTAAATTTATCCTAAAGAATATTTAACGATGACAATTTTAAAAAATTATTGATCATCTCGAGAGAAAAGAATGAGAAGGAAAGAAAGAATGAGATTCCACAATCTCAACGGACGTTCGAGTAACGTACTACGTCGTAGTATCCATCCATTCTTCCTTTTTTTTATATATAGAAAAATTCGCAATTTTTCACGATTCTATTCGAGCTATCCCGCATAGCTTTTATCGTATCTTTTGTGTCTGAGAATGCGAGAAATCTTTGCATTCTCGGGTTCTCTCTCTCTCGGCAAATCCTTGAAATCGAGGTAGGTAGGCCCTCCGATGCCGCACCTGAGCAAACCACCCATTTCGCGCACCTGTTAAGCGCTCAGAAGGGCCCATGGTGCGTCCCTCCTGAAAAGGGTCCTCCGCTAACAATACACGCCGCGGCTGTGTAGGCCTTTGTGCAAGCTGTAGGAAAAGGAACTCGTGGAAAAGGTACCTGTAAGTCAAGGCCGCGTGGATCTATTCGTATCCCCGCGCGAGATCACTTTTCTCTCAAAATTGCTCGTTCGACCTCGACCGGGGAGGCTCTTCGTCCGTTACCTGCGGTGGATCTCGCACAAATTGCAGCGAAAGAAGGAGGACCTGCCTCTCTTCCCTTCCTATCTCTTCCTTCTCCTCTCGAGTATTTTTCCTTTCGTTTCGATCACGTTCGTTTATGATCCGGACTCTCCGCGAGGCCATCGTCGCGCGACGTCTCTTTCTTTCTTCCTTTCCGTCTTCTCCTGCGTTCCTTCTCACCGCGGTCCGGTTTTACTCCGAGTCGCTCCGAAACACGTCGTCGTCGTTGTCGTCCGTTTTCTTTTTTTATCTTCTTCTTTTCACCTTGTCCTTCCACTTTACAAGCGCCGTTGCTCCGCTCACCAATATGATTTGTAAAGTATGCGTGCCACGTGTGAGCGAAAAGAAAGGATGATAAAAAAAAGTACCGTTCGTCGCGACGTTTCACTTTCCAGTCTTCGCACCTACTTGGACGACATACTCTGCTTCTTAGACATGTCGCGTTTTCCTTTCTACGATATAAACTTGGAAACAGTGAACTTGATCGATTAGCACAACGTCTCAGTAAAACTCGCACCGATGATGGCGCATACTTGGATCAATTGAACGTGTTATTACTTCTTTCGGTTTTTTTTTCAACGAATATTGAAATAATCACGAAAATTTCAAGAATTTGGAAAGCAATTCTAGACATTTAAATTTTATGATATATTTCTGACTTTAGAAAAATTATATAATAAGTGGAAATAATTTAGCAAAAAAAAAAAGAATAGTTTTATTAGTCAGGATAAGAGATTAACTGACACCTATATTTCGCTCGTCTTTGGCCTCTTATCCTGACTATTGTTTACAATACGAGCTGGTAATTTGAATAATTTTATATATTATGTTTTATGTATTCGATTTTAGAATTACATTGTTTTAGCATTGCGTATATTTTTACCGTTGAGAAATTTAAATGTGACATTTCTCAGTTTGAATTGCTTTCGTCCGAAGAGTACAATGCATATAATAGACAGAGAGAGAGAAAGAGAGACAGGTATCGTCACGTGAATGGAGAGCGACGAGCGTGATCATCTCGCGCGTTTTTTTAACAATGAAACGTGAAGAGTCTCGGGGGGGAGAGGGGAAGGGAGGGGGGCAGCAAAGAAAGAGTCGGGTGATGTCGCGACGGATAAAGAGTTCAGCGGGTCTTTTGCAGTTTCCATCGTAAATTACGACGCGCCGTCACTCTCGATCGCGAGTTCTTTTTTCAGTCGACGATGGATCGTCTTTCCCTTCCCCCCTTTTTTTTCCGTGTCGTCTCATCGTCGCGGTCTGTCCGGCGCGCATATAAATTATGGTGGCTGATGTTACGTCTGCGTAATTGTATGGATCTTCGTCACGTCACGAGTCGGGCCGCGCGCTTGTCGTGAACCTCCTGGGAAATATTTCTCCGGTACGTTGCCGAGACTCTATGCTCGGCGGCGATAGATGCGCGTGTCCGCGGAAACTCCGGTCATCCGTCACTGTTTGAACTTCGTCCGGCACTTCAGCGAAACAGTACCGCAAATCGGAAGGGTCAGTTTATTAAAGTAGCTTCCGAAGCTGAATCAATAATATCAAATGCGAATTAGAAGAGTGCCGAAGAGTAAATTACATTAAAGTTCGTTGCAACGTCAGGTGGAAGTGTAATTACCGAGAGATACTTCGTTGGATACTAAGTAGTTAGTAGCGGCAGTGAAAAAAAATCACCAAAGTATCCGCCATTCATATTAATGACACTGGCTCGAGGGTAATTAGGTTTCATCTTGCGTTTTTTTGATATAATTATCCTTCAAATACCTCTCTGCCGTAATATACGTTCGTTATACAAGATATTCGTCGATAAATGTTCGGTCAACTTTTTTGTAAGTCAATGAGAAATTGAATTGCTTCCTATTTTCGATATTTACTGAAATGAGATCGCTCTCTCCCCCTCCCCCCCTTTCCTCCTACCTACTTTTTCCTTCCACAATGTTTTTTGACTTCTCAAGAGTTTTGTGCAAGAAACGATAAACTCGAACGCGCGGAGAGCGAACGCCGCGAAAGAAACTTTAGAGAGAGGACTTATCGTACACATCGTAGATTTTCCTGCCGTGGCCGGCCGCCTGTCGGCAAAAACCGAGATGAAAGGCGACGGGAAAACGCCGCCGCGGCGACCGCGCACCGCCCGTCGCGTCAGTGTGGTCGGGGCAGTTTATCGCGCCGTTATTCGTGAGAGAGAAAGAGATACGCGTTGATTATGGTTATTACGCTGTTCGCGCGCGCGCGGCCCGGGAAAAATGTATTCCGCGGAAACCCAGCGACGGGGCGAACCGGCGCCAGTTAATGAGCCGTGGCGGGTTTTTTTTTTAACGGACATCGTCACCGTAAAAAGTGAGTCCGAGACCCTGCTGTTGCGTTAGAGACGACGACGACGAAGACGAGGGGAGAAAAGATCCTTAACGCGTGTTACCATCATCACATCGATAATTAGCGATCCTCTTGGAGGGAAAATTTGGGCAGAGAGAGAACTCCGTGAAAATTACGCCCTGCGTTTGGGCGTAAATGCGGATCTTTCGGCGGTAAAAATGCCGGACACGCAGCAAACGTCTGCCTTCATTTATTGCTTCCGGAACCCACAACGCGTATTTTAATTACGATTCTTGCACGCAGTAATTTGCTTTGCCTCACGGCGGATCTTTTTAATGGTATCATAGTTCGCTGCCAGCGTTTCCATTATTGCTATTTCGAATTCGTTTTGCGGTCGATTGTTTTTAATTTCATTTTAAACTAAATTTATAGGAAATAGATATTTTTTTTTGATAGGAAAGACGTTAATATATATCCTGTATTTTCTATAGTATTTGCTCGTGGTTTTAATCAAAAAAGATACGTGATACGTTCTCGTTAACGAAAAAAAAAAATTGTAATTGCATACAACACTCTATAAAATTCCGGGCGATGTTTCCATTAATATGCACCGTTTGATACCGATTCGATTGCAACGATTATTGCTTATCATCTCGATTTCATTTATCTCAACGTGATCATTGCGCGTTGCAAGTATTTAGATTTCCTACCGTCGTTGTACGTGATGATACTGCGCAAATAAATGTTGCATCGTAAATCGTCAGCAGGAAGTTTCGCTCCATTACGAAGCAACTTGCACAACTAACAATACCCCAGGAGTCTTCTTTTTTCTCCGTCATGTTTTCGTGTCGATCGTAAAAAGTATTGTTCTCCAGCGAGTCGCAGATTTCCGTTTTGTATTCCCGAGAATACATACAATCTAAAATATGTGGCTTGTTTTTATCTTTCTTACTTTGCAGTTGGTTAGTCAATTGTATATTGTTTAAAGAATAAAGAAGTTGCGGATCTCAAAAATTTAATTGTATGTAATAATTTGAAATATAGTCTAT